AGAGCCCCCTTGGGATTTTCCGGGAATTTAAAAAAAGGTATGGGGGAAAAGCTTTTTTTGGGGCCCCCCCTGGTTTTGGGAAAAAAAGAAAAATATAATTTTTGGGGGGGGCTTTGGGCTCCCCCAAAAAGGGGGAAAGGTTTTCCCCCCCGGGGGGGGGGGAAAGGGGGGGAAAAACCCCCCTTTCCTTGGGGAAAATGGGGGGGGGAGGCCCCCCCAATTTTGGGGGGGTTTTTTTTTTCAAAAAAAAAAAAAAAAGTTTCTGGGGGAAAAAAAAAAAAAAGGGGGGTTAAAAAAAAAAATTTTTTTAAATAAAAAAAAAAAAAAAAAAAATCCCCAAAATTTGGGGAAAAGGGGGGGCCCCAAAAGCCCCCAGGGGGGGGGGAAAAAATTCCAAAAAATTTTTTTTGGGTTTTGGGGAAAAAAAAAAAAAAGCCCCAAAATTTTGGGGGTTTTTTTTATGGGGGAAAAAAGGGTTCCCCTTTTAAAAAGGGGGGGGGGTTCAAGGTTAAAAAGTTCCCCCAAAAAAAAAAATTTTTCCCCCCCCCCCCCCCCCCCCCCCCCCGCCAACCGGCGGATTCTGCCCCCCCCCTTAACAGCAGAATCCCCACACCCCGGTGTTTGCCATCGGGGTTTGGGTTTTCGTCACTTAGCAACGACGTAATAAAACAAGCCGCCGCCCCCGGTGTTTGCCATCGGGGTTTGGGTTTTCGTCGCTTGGCAACGACGTTGTAAAACAAGCCCCCCACTCGGTGTTTGCCATCGGGATTGGGTTTTCGTCGCTTGGCAACGACGTTGTAAAACAAGCCAATTCACTTCGTGAACTCGGCAACCAGGTTACCGTTTTTTTTTTTTTTTACCTCGGTTTTTTTTTTGGCGGTAACCATAATGGTGGTCGAGTAGATCATGTTGTGCGGGGTCGAGAAACCTCACTCCGCGCAACGGGGGATGATCGCACCACGTTGTGTTAAAATGGTCAAGCTTCCTCGAGGCAGTTACACAGTGCTTACAACTGTCTCTGGAAGTGAAAGCACCAGAAAATAAATTAAGTCAGTACGTAGCTGTCATCCGTACGCAAGGAAGTAAGCACAAGATGCCGAACACCCTTAGCAGGATGCAGCTCACCCTTCATGCGACTCGCCGAATACCTCACGGCGCTTCGCGCTTGGTGATGTGAGAGCCTGGTCCGGTGAGAACCCGGCGTGCTCCGTCCCGGCTTTGTAGGGATGCGAGGTCAATGGTCAAACGACTACGGCATGCACGACTATGAGTACACGCCCCTTAACAGCAGAATCCTGTGGGAACAATGCTCCGTCCTCTCAAGGACGCGTGGTCAATTGTCTCACAAAAAGGCATGCCAAACGTGGATTGCACACGCTGTCTGTCGATTGCCTAGGTCTGTGGTATTAATAGAAGTACATCGACAGCTATTTCCGACGGCGATAGAATTGTCTATGTAAAAGGATTAGAGGTATTACAGTAACAGCATACGTGATCTAAACGGCGAAATACTTTTCATCTTGAGTAGAATCATGTTGCAGTAGCAGCATTACGTGTCTTTGTCAAGTACGACCCCCTCCTAAACACCGACTCACTTCCGCAGAATCAAGGACCGCTGTCCCAACGAGTGAAGAACCATCTTCGCTCTGGCCGGCGCAGCCTATGGCCGATCTCCGTCGTCTCCGGCGTTGCTGCGATCGAAGGATGGGCCCCGTCGGTTGCCTGGACCACACCTGAGCAGTATCATCGGGTAGAGAGGAAAGGTGAGCGAGTGCGTTGGGGGCCGTCTTTCCACCACCATCACCCATGCTCTGGCCGAGAGGGACGCGGCCTTCGCGAGACACTTAAGTTCATGCGGAAATAAGGTCAATGACACAAGATAACACACCCCCTGAACCGATTTTTCAAAGCTCGATTTCTCGATAGCGGGAAGAGTCACAGCGCCGAAGACGGCAGCCTTGGAACCGTCTTGTCGAGAGCTTTTCGAAAATGTATCATTTCGTTTTTTATGCATCCTCTTCGTCGCGGAGTAATCGAGCTTTGAAAATCGGTCCAGGGGGTGTGTTATCTTATCTTGTGTCATATACGGTAAGCTCATGAGGAAATACAGCACGGAGCGGGGACGCAGACCCTATTCGCAGACCCTAGCCCTAGCCCAACTTCCCCGATTGCATGTTTTTTCCGACATGTTTGCACAATTGTTGTCGTTGTTGTTGTTGTTGTTGTTGTTGTTGTTGTTGTTGTTGTTGTTGTTGTTGTTGTTGTTGTTGTTGTCTTCACATTAAAAACCCTTCCGGTCTCTACTCAGCACCTTCCAGTGTCCGTCGGTACTGGTCCAACTGATGCGGACGCCGTGCGTGCTCACAAGCCAACTGCCCCCCATAGGCGGGGGCGTATACAAGTACACCTTTCTAAAAAAACAAAGAAAAAAAAATGATGCATACGAAAAGCCTTCAAGGCTACTGGAAAACAAACGGACGGACCTGTACGCGAAGCTCCCCTCCCCGTGTGATCTCCATCGCAGGGGGGCCCCACACGATGCGCATCCAGTGTGGCCGTAGCAAAGGCAGGGGCACCGTGTCACCGGTGATACCCATGTGCCGTCGGGGTGGGTCGCTGGGGTGTTGAGGGTCGAGAACGGCCTCCGCCACCGGTTTCGAGAAGTGGTCTTTTTCGCGGAAGCCGAGGAGAGCTGGGATCCATTTGGTCGGTTCGAGGGGGAGGGTTGGGGGATGTGCTTTCGATCGATTTGGTTGGCTTGACAGTTCAGAAGGGGAGGGGGTTGCGTTGGTGGTGTGATTCTAGCTCAGGCAACATCAAGAAGGAGTCGCTGGGGTGTTTCGGTTAGGAGAAGTGGAAGAACTGATTGACTTGATCGGTTAGACAGTTCAGAAGGTATCAGCGGGGGGCGGGGGATGGAACGGCATCCTGGTGACGACTATAATACAGCAACAGCATCGCCACGCTTTCATTCTTATGAGCCTCCGTCCGATTCTTCGGCGTTGAAAGTCCTCGCTAACCCGAACGCCCGGGTAAAAAGGTTCGCAACAACAAGTCCGCCACAAGTGTTGAGTGTGTTCGTGCGTGTCCTGAGATGGCATCGAGGCCGAAGCAATCAAACGACGCGGGTCTTTCAGTGCGGCCAAAGCCGGAAACGCTTCTACAAAGGCCATGATCAAGTGGATAGCGCTAGTTCGTGTGTACACAGAGGGAAGAGAGTGCTGAACTCTTCTCGCATTAAAAATCGAAGGCAAAGTACCGCAGGAGGGGAGGGTAGAGAGAGGCTCTTCTGTGTGACCACGGGTTGGAATAAACGGCACTAGTGCTGTGAGCGCTGATTTGAAGTGAGAACAAGAAAAAAAAAAAAATGATCTAGCCCCCCGCCGTGAGTCCGTGTGCGCTAACTTTAATGGCCAACGAAACGACGCCAGTCCCAGCGCGGCTGAAAACAGCAAAATGCTTCTGAGAGCAATGATGCGCGTGTGGATTCGGCCCGTGTTGAGTGTCCCCTCAGTAACGCCCCCCTTACCAGTAGCCAACGAGCTGCAGCCACCCCTCAGCACGAAGCTCCTCCTGGAGACGTTGAGAATAGTGAATCTTCTTCGGACTGGATCCCAGTGCAGTCGGAATCCCTTATCGTGCCACTCCTGACAAAACAAACAAAAAAATACGGAAACGGGTCAAGAGCGGGATAATAATGCCGTCAGGAAAACAAACCAACTCCCTTGTGCGGTGAAAGCCCGTTTCGTGACACCCCGGACGAAGATCACAAAAAAAAACAAACGGAATCCGAGCGGCCTTCAGAAAACAAACGCGACAGGTATGCAGGTCAACACACAACTCACCTTTGTCCCTGCCATCCTCTCCGTAGACGTCTCCTCCGAGTTGAGCATGTCGGCCAATCCCTGGGCGTCGAACGTGCTCAGGTGATACGCCAGCCCCACCGTCAGGATGCAGCTCCGGCTCCCGGCCCAGGTGTTCTCCACCACCGCCGCCCGCCGGCGCTGCTCCCGCCTTGCCGCGGGTCTCGCGGCGCTGCGGGCGACCGCGAGGACGCCCTCCAGGAGGACGGCGGCGGGGGCAACAGCGGCCGTCGCGACGGCGGCGGCGATGGCGGCGACGGGGGACG